GAACTTCCGCGGATTTCTGCTGACCCCGCAGAACGAGACGTGAGCTCAGCGGAGCTTGGTTATGGTAGGGGGGGGAGGGGGGCTTCCTCGATATTTTACCATGGGTTTACCATGCTCTTGGTCATGGATATTCCACGCAATATATTTGTTTTACAATGGAATTACCACGAACCCTATGACTTTACCATGAGTCACCGAGATTCAGCATGGTTTTAACATGCACTCTCGTAATTGACCATGGTTTACCATGGGCTCCAAGGCGTAAACCATGGTTTTATCACGAGCAAAAGTGAATTTACCATGGGGCTCATCGATTTACAATGAACTTACCACGGGTCGCTTCCAATAACCATGGGATTAACCATGAGCTCCACAAGGTTCCGTGCCTTTTCCTTGGACTGCATAGTTTGACCACGGGCTGTTTCGCCCGTGCCCCGTATCCCCTTTGGCTCCTTCAACCCCCTTCTCACTGCGCCACCGTCCCACGGTAACTTTGGGGGCGCCACGGTGCCTAAGAGATTTTGACTACCTCGCCTGGTGTACACGAGGTCGTGGGGTCGATATCGACCCCGACGATGCCTGCTGTATATTTTGAGTTTGCGTGTCTCTCTCTCTCCTCATCATCACGGTGCCTAGAAGAAGTTAACTACCTCGCGTGTTATAAAATAGGTCGTGGGGTCGATTCCGACCTTAACGACAGCTGCTGTATATTTAAAGTTCATGTCTCTCTCTCTCTTTCATCGTCATCACGGTGGTAAGTAGATGTTAAATACTTTGTCTGGTGTGCAGGAGGTCGTGGGTTCGATCCCGCCCCATACGCCTGCTGTATATTTGGAGTTTGTGTGTGTCTCTCATCATTATCACGGTGGCTAGGATATATATACTACTTCGCATGGTACACATGAGGTCGTGGGTTCGATCCCGACCCCGATTATGCCTGCTGTATATTTAGAGTTCGCGTGTCCCTCACTCTCATCATCATCACGGTGGCTGGGATATATTAACTACCTCACCTGTATACAAGAGCTCGTGGGTTCGATCCCTGCGCTGACGACAGCTGCTTTATATTTAAAGTTTGTGTGTCGCTCTCTTTCTCATCATCATAACCGTTGATAGGAGATGTTAACTACCTCGCCTGGTATACAGGAGGTCGTGGGTTCAATTCCGTCCCTGACGATACCTGTTGTATATTTGGAGTGTACGTGTCGTTCTCATCATCACGGTGGTGAGGAAATGTTAACTACCTCGCTTGGTATGCAGGAGGTCGTGGGGTCGATCCCGACCCTGACGACAGCTGCTGTATATTTGGAGTTTGTGTCTCTCTCATCATTATCACGGTGGCTAGGATATATTAACTACTAAGCATGGTATACATGAGGTCGTGGTTTCGATCCCGACCCCGATTATGCCTGCTGTTTATTTAAAGTTTGCGTGTCCCTCTCTCATCATTATCATCACGGTGGATAGGATATGTTAACTAACTTGCCTGGGATGCAGGAGGTCGTGGGTTCGATCCCAGACCTGACGATGCCTGCTGTATACTTTGAGTGGGCGTGTCCATCCCTCTCATTATCATCACGGTGGCTAGGGAGATGTTAACTACCTCGCCTGGTATGCAGGAAGTCGTGCGTTCGATTCCGGCTCTAACGATGCCTGCTGTTTATTTAAAGTTTGCGTGTCCCTCTCTCTCATCATCATCATCACGGTGGCTGGGATATATTAACTACCTCGCCTGTATACAAGGGTCGTGGGTTCGATCCCTGCGCTGATGATAGCTGCTTTATATTTAAAGTTTGTGTGTCGCTCACTTTCTCATCATCATAACCGTGGATAGATGTTAACTACCTCGCCTGGTATACAGGAGGT